ATGAAAATTTGTAAAATATAAATTTTTTCAACATTCGTTGACCTCAGAATATACCGATAGTTTTTGTTCTGACTCGCCTACAGCGGTGTGACCAAAGGTTGTGCGTCGAGGCTAAAGGACTGCGGGTCGTGGCTAAAGCATTGCGGGTTTTGGCTAGAGGAATGTAGGTCAAGGCTAAGAGAATGTGGGTTTTGGCTAAAGGATTGCGGGCTTTGGCTAAAGCTTGATGGGAAAAGGTGTAGTTGTTTCATAATTTATTTCACATGCAACTTATTTCGGATATTGTGCCCTTTTATCCAGACAACCCTTTGCTTTTATTTTTTATTTTCTCCCCCCCCCCCCCNTTTTGCCAGACATCGGATTATGGCTGAGCGCGGAGTTCCTTCGATAGATCACTATTTGTTTGAGGATCATCCGATGCTGCGTCGTGCCGCGGCAGAATGTGTGGCTAACATGGCTCAGTATCATCCGTTCGTTGTCGCCTGTGGAGGACAGTTGCCCGTGGATGACACAGATTTGGGTGCAAAACTTCCGTTCCTCAGCTCCTCCACGGAACGTGTAAAACTGCTCGTGCTCTACTGTTGCGAGTTTGAAGATCTGTTTCTTGTGCGTGCCTCAATCGGTGCACTAGCTACAATGTCGTACGATCCGGGTGTGATCAAACTTATCACCAAGGTGAGTGATCAATGTTATCCGTTTTCGCTGCCGAAATCTATTGTCATTTAACAACATCGCACACTGTTCCACGTAAAACAGAGTCCACTTTTAAAACACTCCTGTTAGCTAGGCCAAGAGTCATTTAAGTTATGATATAACCCTGATAGTTAAAAAAATGTATGGTAACACCGTTGGCTTCGAGCATCATCCCCAACTGCTTGATTTATAGTGACTGTAGTCATCTACAAATCAGGAGTACCTTTAGACTTTCACACACGTCTGAGTTCAAACGTGTGGCCAAGAAATCGCGGTACAATGATCGTCATAAAAGGAAAAATCGGTGATTTGCTAGTGGGTGGACTACTTCCAGGTTACCCACGCAAAAGCAAGTGAGTTTCCTTGGGGATTCACAACCGAGGCTTTTGTCTAGTCAAAGAGGTTTGTGAAAACCTCAATCTATTGGGGGCCTAGTGTCCAGGTCATCGGGTTATACGCCCTTTAGACTGGTTCAAACGTCTTGGTTTTCCAATCCAGCGGGTGACCACTGTCACAAACAGAAAGGTTTGTGCAGTTGTCAAGCCTCTTCTTGTTGGTTTGAATCAATGTTTTTAGCCACGTCTCTTGGGGGAACTGCCTGGGGTTCACCGACCCGGTTATAGCCTTGGATATTGGCTTTTCGTCCTCTCATCTTGGTGCGAAAACACCCGCCACGGGAAGGCACTGATTAAATCAAGTCAAGTAGGACCTCCTCAGTAGAAGCTGTTCGAGACGCTTGGTCGTATAGGATTATTTGGCGAAGTGCCAGGGAAGGGAGACCAGTCACAACCCGAGATACCCTCCCATCCCGTCCATACTGATGCTTTCAGGGGCATATCGTTTGACTTCGAGTGTCATCATCGAGTGGGTGGTGAGTGTGCGTGATCGTTATCCTTCTCTACAATAGAACAACAAGTTATAAATACATCTGATAACGTCATTTCCTGGATTATATGATTCGAGCAACGGGACAACCACTGATGTCCATATGCAGGCGGTTGTACTATTCTGACAACTTTTGCTGTTGAATGGTTCTTCGCTAATATGATTCTGAACCGTTCTATTGTTAATATCATCATTTTGTTTGACGAGTTGACTTCTATGCAAACAGACTACGGAAAACTTTTCTCTCTCAACTGTTCTGCAATCGTACTATTTTCTATTCGGTCATCCTTGTTGTAGGCATCCTCATGGTTTGAAACTATTCAAACATTGGCAGGCCATGATGCTTGTTGCTTGCAACATCGAGCTGCACATCTTCTTCGCAACATGGCTCTTTATGGAGAACAGTCCCTGTGCGAGTATTTTTGTCGATCAAACATGCTCGAAGTGATTCTCTCATTGAGTCAGCTACCTGATATCTCACCCAGTGAACCACTGCCCACCGATACGGTTTCGCTCCACCCCGGAGTTCCGGAGGAACAGTTGCGACAAATAACCCAAACAGATCGCAAGAAGACACGCGATTGTGCCCTTGAAGCCTTGCGTAAACTGCAAGAATATGGGTTAGTGGAACGACTGGGAACTGATGGCTCGGGACGTGAGAAAGCGTGAAACTGCTCATGTAGGTTCCACCGTTCCTGCAATGTTTTCTGTTGTGTATTGTTTGATAATTCATCTCAATGCACGGTGTTTGTGCTTTATGGCCCAATTTTATTGTCAATTCCTGCCACCTAATCAGATCGCTCCATTGAGTTAAATAATGCTATTTTTAACAACACCTACTTTTTGGGGATCATGTAGGCTTCGGCTTTTCTCAGTTGCCGTTATTCCGTCTGAGAGGTCTGCGGACTGTACTTATTTGGTACCAAGAGTTCTTTGTTCTGCTTACTATAGCATATTACACTGCAAACGAACTGATGTCTATGATCCAAAAGCCAACTGTGCAGCAAAAGTAAACGGCATCCTTGACCCTACGAATTTAAAAAGTGATGCAGCTAATTTCACGTTTTCATAACGACTGGAAAGAGTATCTGAATAACTGGTCTCCATGTCGCTTTTCTTTAACAAGCTTGATTGGGGAAATGGTGATTTTTTCTTCATTTGTGATTTTTCACCAACCGGCGTTTGCAGGTGTTTCATCCACTTTGACCTAGTTAGCGTCCTGTAGGCTTTTGCTTCATCATCATCTCTGCAGTCGATGATAAGTACGCAATCTAACTGCCAACCTGGGCGAGTCAGTCTTCTGCATCTTTTTAGTGATGGTGTTGGTCCAGCGGCATGCTTTGGGCCTCGGGTTGAGACTCTAACCCCGCCACCTTTGCTGTCAACCGGATCAATTATTACGTGATTCATAACTCAGAGTCCCAGGGCTCAGTCTGCCGTTTTCCGTGAACAAACAACGTCTTCGTGACTATGTGGTTTACCCTGTCTCTCGTTCATCGCATAATAGTGTAATAAGAATAACAACAATAATACTGCCATGGAGTTATGCAAACATTATTGCAGCGTTACTGTTGAGTTAGTTCAACGTCTCTCTGGATTGGTGAGCGCGAGTTGATGCGGTGTTTACAGTACACGTTTGTCATGTATTTCGACCCAACCAGCGTTTAGTTGTAGATTCTCATTGGAACGTTGATTATTTCTTTTCCAGCTTGTCATGATTTCTCCCCCATACCAAACATTGTGATATAATAATCTGTAGAAGAATCACCGCAAACGAGCTTGTTCGCTACTCTGATTTTTTTACAATGTTTAGTGATGATACATTCAGAAAATTATCTTTCGGTACTTTTTTATGGGCTGATTGAAGGATGAAACCAAAGGCTTGCACCTGTAAATAGCAGATTTAAAATTTATGCGCATTTCATCTGCGTTCTGGAGCGGCAGATGATTCATAATTTCACATCAAACATAAACCCGAACACCTCATCTGCGTCTTGGTCGACACATCTCTCAACTGCCCATTACCTTTTGCGTTCTACATAGTCGTGCTTGGCAAGTTTCTCGTGTACCAGTTCGGTCACTGTTACTCCACGATGCAGAAACTTGACCACTCCGGGAACAGGATAAAAATAGATTGTCAGTGTTNCGTCGCGTTGCACGAGTCTGGTGGAAACCGGACGAGCAATGCTGAGGTGGGGCGTAGAGTTTTAGGTAATCGCGGTCGACCACAAAAGTAAGTAGCCAACCTTCATAGATTACGTTCGTTAGGACATGTGTTACGCATGTCTCCAAGTAGGTTCCCACGGTGAGCGATGTTTGCCGAGACAAGTACCAGTTCCGTTCAATTCAGTTTTTACAACCGATAACCATGCACTTTCGTGCGCCAGTGTTGGTTGCAGTCTTTTCGTGCCCCATTTGGATAAACGAGCAAAAAGAAGAAGAA